ATGAACTTGCTCTTCGTCAAAGCGCTTATTCGCACTATTGCCTTCATCACGTGGACCTGTTTTAGTGCTTGGCTTTTCGTTCAAGTGGAGCACACTGAAAATGATTTTGTTGATCAAAAGTATCAGTTATTGCGCTCTCTTTACATTTCCATGGTATCTAAATACAACATGACCATCGACGACTTCAACAACTTTTCCAATATTGCACACGAGGCATTGTCCGCACCTGATTTTCAGTGGACCTATCTTCATTCCTTTGACTTCGTTCTTCAAACGGTGACTACAATAGGTGAGGACAGTCTACATCAAAAACATAAATTAAAATGCAATGTTAAATAACGCAATTTAGCCATTTTGAGTGTCAGCCTAAGGATGACAAGTTTTAATAATACGATCACAGGCTAGACTGCTAAGAGCCATATTTGATCACCACCGTCGCAAACGCAGAAGGGTATTGTCCAACGGAGCGTGCCCGAGCATTTTGCCACTCGATCGACTGGAAAGGGCCGGGCAACAGTTTTCGAAAGAATCATTCGCCAATTTTTCATTCGCCCTATAATTATTTCCAGCAGCGAGTATTCAGGATTCGTGATGACTATTGTAAGCCAACAAGAGAGGCTTGATGTAAATCCATTCTAAACTAGTAATTTAGCAGTGTTTTTATTTTTTTTACAAAAATAACCACAAAAATTATTTTTGTTTGTGCTCCGTGATAGCACAGAATTGACCTGAAAAAAAGCGATATCCTCGTAACATCGCCCCTTGAAGTGTCAGTGTTTTTAATTTGTTTTCGTGGCCTAATTTACAACCTGACTTCTTTAATTTGGTGCCGATACGTTTACTGAACGGCCTTGGCTAAAATTGTTAGGATTGATCTTCTTGGTGGTATTTCCGCTAACAATGTTTTAAACATCTTAACTTTCCTCTATCATAGGATATGGGTATATCACACCAAAAACAGAAGGAGGCAAGATACTTTGCATCTTTGTCGCTTTGGTTGGGATTCCGATCACAATGCTGGCATTAAAAACGGTTGGCGAGCTCATTGTCTATGGTGTTAACAAAGTTGTTAAGAAGTTTGAAACGAAAGTCCTCAAGAAGTCAGAAGTACGACAACTGCAAACTAAAACTGCAGTAATCTTATTTTTATTATTGGTGATGTTAATAATGACTGCCTCCATTCTTCTTGCAAGAACAGCGGGTTGGACCGTTACCGAAAGCGTTTACTGTTGGTTCATAACTTATACAACGATCGGTTTTGGTGACTACGTTGCCAAAGACTTTCCTCAAAGTATTCAGATGTTGTCTAGCAATGGCTCAAGAAGCCACCAGGGCCAAGAAAAACGCGTTTTTGAAGTAGAAGAAACTGCGCGAATTTTGGGCTTAATTTTAGCCTTGTTTTTTGGTATACAAGGTCTATGTTTAGTCTCAAGTGTATTAAACTCCATCATGGCCGCTATTGAGGAACTGAACCTCCGTCCTCGTTGTCTCAGAAGAAAAACTGAGGATCGAACCAGTGACAACAACAACAGTTCTCCAGAGCAGTGTGACAGAGAATTTATTCAAGCGTTGTAGCAAGAAAAGCCAAGGATTTCAGAGGGGAAACATCTAAGCGAGAATTAATGACGATCGACTTTAAGCACATACACGTTATAAAATTATCGCCCCATGTAAAGGTGACGTTACACCGCGACGATTCGCAAAGAAGATCTTTAGTGCAACACATCGTTGCAATGTTGGGACAATGTTGTAACTATTCGAAACAATGTCGCAACAATGTTGCAATGCTGTGTTGCGCTAAAAATCGTTGTTGCGAATCGTCTCGTGTGACATAACCCTTAGGGAATCAAAGACAGTCTTGGATTCTGAATTTCGCGCCGTTGATTCCGGATTCCAATCGCTAGTGGCATTCCGGATTCCTTACGCTGTATTCGGGAGTCCAGCGCCCAGGATTCCAGATTCCACAAGACAGTCAGGAATCCGGATTTCTTTAATTGGGGGAAATTAGCAGTTGAGACACCGGCTAAGGCGGTATAAGCTTTGCACTTACACTTATATACCTCAGTTGATACTAGGACAGTTACAAATAATGCACTACAAACGTCACAAAAGGATTAGAAAACTTCTCCCTGAAACAGTTCAAGAAGAAAATAAGATCACTTCTGATTGGCTAGAAAAAAGAGACCTTTAGATTAGACTGTGATGGATTGAGTGGAAGAAGGAGTTTTCAAACCAAGATCGTGTGTTTCATTTATTAAGCATGTTACACCAATCACTGGTGATTAGTCAGTAATAGGAATTTAAAAGTTATAGTCGCGGGATAAAATTAATATCAAAGCTCCAAAGTCGTAGGCTCGATTACTAGAAATTGACTTGCCAGGAGGACCGAGGGAGCAGCGGAAATCGAGCCTAGAAATTAAAGCGGTATTCGTTCTCGATTTCATTCTTGAAGGCAAATCTAAAGGCCGACGATGCTTTCTGGAAAAGCATTGGTTGAATATGTCAGAGTGAGCACACAGAGTTTTTGTCGCTCTTCTTTCAAACCTTGCCTTCGATGTTTCCTTCGGGAATTTTCCGTCCTGATTGGCAGCCCGGGAGTCTGCAGGGATGTAAACGAAAGAAGGTTTTCCGAATCTGTCTGAGAGTTCAAGTCGTGATAGTCTTGTTGTGTGTGTTTCAAGTTGTACGAGTGGTAAACTGGTGAGATTAGCCTTTTAATTCATGCGATTGGTGCTAGTGGCGATTGGGTGATATTTCAGTGTCATAATATGAGGTATCACATAGTGACACTGCATCTTTTAGAATTTGCTGGAAAAGTTTTCTTGAGGGGGACCTGTCTAGTGGTACGACTCGTACAAGTTGTTCTACTGGCGAAATCTTGCATCTTATTAGAGAATATTCGTGGTGTATGCGTTCTAGCTAACTAGTCTTTTCCTGCTCTCAATTTATAAGTGTCGCAAATGAGATGCTATTTCTCCAGTTGTACGACTCGTATGAGACGCGCCACTAGACACGTGAGACGATGAGTTATAGCCAAATAAGGGCCTGTTTACATGGAGGTGGGGGACCCCAGGTAGGTGAGGTAACCCGCTTAGGTGGGGTAACCCGCCTGTCCATATAATCTCTCATTTTCATTTGATCACGTTTACATGATAGGTGGGGTGACCCGCCAAGGCGGGTAGCCCGGTCTACCAGACCGGGTTACTCTCTCAGCCGGGGTCACAATTTGGTATGTAAACGTTTCAAGGTGGGGTAACCCGCCTGGCCGGGGTCGGATTCGTGATACATCAAATTCGCGCAAAATTCACTTTCGCGGTGTCTTTGCATTATGATTAAAGTTAACAATAGAAAGCTATTGCACTGACGGGTTGCAGCAAGAGCAACAAGTGAGTGAAAAAGTGCATTAATCGCCAAAACTCGTGGTTTGCCAGCATTTTTCTTGTTTACGTGCTTAGCGACCATTCAATTATCTTGAGAAAGTGCACCCCGGGAAGGCGGGGTTGTAAGATTGCATGTAAAGGCGGGTTATTTTATTACCTCACCTAAGCGGGTTACCTCACCTACCTGGGGTCCCCCACCTCCATGTAAACAGGCCCTAAGATACTTCACTTTATAATTATTTCACTCAAACATATCACATTCACCACTTAAACCAATCGCACAACTTAACCACTCGTACAACTTGACCGACTTGAGTCTTGGATTTTACAACTTGAACAAGTGGTAAGTATTGAACATATGTAGCGGAAAGGGCAAAAAACGGCATGTAACGTTAACTGACAAAATATCGATGGACAGTTATTAACACCTCTCTGTAATAGACCCAGTGGTTTATTTAGGTGTACCTAGTAAAAATTTAGCCTCCCCGATACCCGGAGAATAGTTTAGGCGAATATATACCGCGGCAGGATTAGCTCAGTCGGTAGAGCGCTTGACTGCAGAGCGGGAGGTCGCGGGTTCGATTCCCGGGGCCTGACCAATACTCAGGGTCTTAAAATAACTGAGAAATGAAGGTACTTCCTTTGCCCTGCAGGCGGCTGGACCTTCACGTGGCTCGGATGACCACGTAAAATGGCGGTCCGGTCTCCAGTAGGAGACGTTAATATAGTGTCCCCAATTAGCACTTTCGTGCTAAAGTACATTGACACTCAAATAAAGTGCTTATTATTATTATTATTATTATTATTATTATTATTGTTATTATTGTTATTGTTTCTACCCGGCTCATTTTTGGCGTCCCCGGTCACTTTCTATTTTTACTTCACAAGACCAGTGAGTTTCGTTGGTTATATTTCTTTAAAAGAAGCAAAAACAGTAAAGCAATATTACCATTGACCAAAAAAAAAATACGGAGTGTACTGGTAATCAATCTCGCATAAAAAAGTATAAATCGTGTAGTTCTTCTCAAAACAGCAGTATGTGGGTGTTCAAAGTTTTCATACCGGTAAAAATGTAAGGCCTGCCACCCGTTTCCGCTTTTATGGGTAGGAAACCCAGTGGAAAATAAACCAACCCAGTGACGTTTTCGTCTTCAACCCAGTAAAGATATAGATTCCACTGGGTCTGTTACAAGGGGTGTTTATTACCAAGTGCAACACGGTTTATTACAAGTTGCGACAGGTACAACAAACTGCTATAATTATTGCGAGATAACAGGTAGTCTATAGCAAATGTCCAGAAAAATAAATAAACGAGGCAAGAAAAGTGAAACTGAAGAGGGGAGAAGAAGAAGAAGCGATAAGTAAAAGTCAAGACTGCTAAAGTATGTCACATCTCGAAAGTTTGCTTTAAGTACATGCCTCATGAAGGTACATGCTTTGGTACTTTGGGGCACTTTCGGCTCAGAGTGACTCAGTGACCAGAAATCATCTCGACTAGCTACAAAAGGCGATTTTCGGCAAAATTTTCAGGGGCGAATAGGTTAAGGAGGACGTTTTTTTCACCCTTGTAGGTTTGTACCTAAATGATGGATAATCTAACCCCTGAATAGTAAGCACGGTTTTTCATTTTTACTGTACTATGGAAAATGGTAAAAAGCATCCAGTGTGCTAGCCGAAAATTCCATGTCGAAACACAATATTCATTGCTAGGCTTATTTCGGTAAACCGATCGCTTTTTGTACTCCATCAAACAAGCGTTTACCGAAAAACACTACATCTATATTCCAAGATGTGCATAAGTAATGCTACTATGGTTGAATTTGATCTATTAGGGAAACTTTGTAACCTACCGCAGAGCTTAAACCGCAGCTGCTGCTGCTACTTTGTGCGCATGAACACGAAAATTTGCTAATTAAAACTGATCTTAACAGGGATGGAAAAATCGACTTTCCATGAAAGCCGATTCAGTGAGGTATGTACTCTGTTTCTAAACCGGCTTTTGCTTATTGAATCTCAATGCAAGCAGCCATGTTCACTCTCCCATTAATAGCTCAGTAGTCAACTACGCGGCAAAACCTGTAAAGACTAAAAACGGCAGGTGCAATCAATGATATATGAAGTCCAGCACGGCGGGACGAAAACAACTTTCCTCATCATTTAAATGTATCATAGCTGTTCTAATGCCTTTCCGTGGTTAACAACAGGTTTTTCAACGAAGTCTGCCTGCTTTCACCTTAGTTGGCAATTTACATTAGTTTACAGGCCTCCCAAGTAACTCCGTTAACGAGTAGTTTGCAATTCCAGGGACAGAAAAAACGCTTTAGTCGGAGCTGCTACTTCTAGCCCGTTTTACGGTGAGCCGATCAAGCCGGTAGCCGATCTTGAATTAGATGTTTTTCCTGTTTATCAAAAATAAGTCTGGCAGGTTTTCCCTTAGAATAGTTATCTAGTTTTATCCTTAAAGTTACTATTAACATGAAAAAAGTGATAGCTGTCATTTCATATCATTGCTGATAATCTTACTACCCATTTTAGTATTCAAACTTAAGGAGGGGCAAAATTTTCCAATTTTCCTGAATTTCCTAAACCCATTACTTGCATGCTCTATCCCTTAATTTGTTTGTTTCTGAATAGAACACGAATGGCAAATGTAAAGCAATTTTAATTTGAGCATTTCTTCGTAGAATGCTAATTTTGATATTAAGTAATGATTAGGATATCTTCTATGGGTTTGATGCCCGGAAAATAAGCACGGCAAATTATCTCCCCTTTGGAATTTTTTTTCCATTTAGCTTTTAACATGCATAATGACTTTGAAAAGGCAAGTCACTGGATAAATATTTCTCAGCGCCAAAGACTGAGTAGTGTATACATACGAAAACAAACGATTTTCTCTTGATGGCGCGTTACTAATAAATGATTAACAGTGGATAAAATTTAACTCACTACAAGTGTCCTGGAGCCTTCAAGCATCGCCTTAATTAATATCTCTTTATACTAACGTGCTTGAAAATAAATTTGAATAACCCTTTTGGGCAATGTCCAAAAAATTGACGAACTTACAACAAGAAAATATAATGAATTATTTAAAGGAAAATAATGCAAGTAAATTAAAACACTTTTCGACTCTTAGTCTCTTAGCATTGCCTTAGTGTACGCCTGATTCTAGTTTTACTGTTTTAGAGGCCATTGCGCAAGAAAAATGAACCCTCTTATCAAAAAGGCAATCTTTCGAGCACTCGGATTCTTATTATGGGTTTCATTGAGCGCTTGGCTGTTTGTTTTGGTGGAATATACAGAAGAAAACGACAGTGAAGCAAAACGCCAGTTGTTACTCGCCGTGTATGCGTCCATGTCAACAAAATACAACATGTCCATTGAGGAGTTTAACAACTATTCAAGTATGGTGTATGAAGCAATGACTGAACCAAAACCACAATGGAACTATCCTGCTTCATTGGATTTTGTTTTGCAAGCTATTACCACTATTGGTAAGCTAACAAAATTCCACATTTAGTTTTTATTTGCTTAACAATTCTGACGTCTTTCAAAAAAGGCTGACAAATAATCCGAGATTGGTAGAAATCTCCTATTATACTTTGTCTTAATTCGAGGTAGTCATACATAGCGAGCCTCGCAAAGTGAGACTTATTTCGTTTCGTTTTACATTACCTTAGCTATCTTTAATAGATCTTTTCATGGTTTTTTCAACTTTTTATATGGACCAGTTAGGGAAAATCCGTCGACAACATTAAAAAGAGCGCCTTAATATTAGTAGAATTGCCAAATTTTAAAGCGATACGTCTTTAGCAAGCGAAGATATAGCTCCGGAAAGTTGAGAAAATTTACATACATTGGTATGGTGGTGGGGCAAGTTTATCTATATCAGTTTTCAACAAAACACTCTTGACAGTTTTACTAATTTTAAGGAGCTCTTTTCCGTGGTGTCGATGGATTTTCCCGAAATCAAAAGTTGAAAAAACCCTTGAAAAAGACTATTCACCTTTTTTAAAAAAACACATACCCAAAGTAATTACTAAAAAGAAGAAAAGTGATTCATTTTTTCATCTTTTTAAATTGAACCTCCTTGCAGCTGGGCATCAGACCTCCGAATGGTATAGGCTTGGTTGGATAAGCACAGGGTTCTAATTTAGAGACCTTTATAAAATTAGATTCTTAGACGAGGGCGAATACGAGAACGAGATTTTCTCAATGTTAAGTAGTGGGCGCGCGTGAACCAGCGTAATTAAATATTGAGAAGCTTATGCAAAGGCGTTTTTGAGCGACGCACTTGAACCGGAAGAAAGGCCTTATATCGTTTAAAATGCCTTGACGCTAGCACATTTGTTTTGGTACGTTTCTTTACTCTTATACAGACAATTTGCCCAAACATTTTGGCAAAAACATTGCCTACTATGAAGCCCACTTCCGGTTAATGTGCGTCGCTCAAAACGCCGTTGCTTATTAAGCTCCCTATACCCCACGTCCACATTTCCCATAATGCACGTTAGTTGCCCCCCAAAATTTTGCATGACCTTTGTTTTTCATTTCTCCTGGGGATTACAGCCGTCCCAAGAGAAATTGAAAACAATGATTTAGCAAAATTTTTTGGGGGGGGGCAAATAACGTGCATTATGAGAATGTGGACGTAGTGTATTACAAAGGACTTTAAGGTGATGTTACACGGGACGATTCGCAACGACGATTTTAGCCCAACACAGCGTTACAACATTGTTGTTACAATGTTTAGAACGTTTGCAATATTGTTCCAACATTTGAACCCTGTGTTGAGCTAAAAGCCGTCGTTGCGAATCGCCCCTTGTATTTACGATCCAACTACGCAACAGCAACGAGAACGTCGCCTAAAAAGTGAATTTGAGTTCTTTCAGTGTTTATCGCAATTATTCCTACTGACTTACTTTGTCAAATGTATTCGAACCCTTCTGAATTTGAATTCCAAGGGACCATATTCAAGTCCAGAAAGCCGAAATAAAATTTCGCCGTACATGCTGCTTGTTTACGTTCGCCATAGAACACGAAAATAGGCATTTGCACGTCGTACTAGTGCAAAAACGGCAAAGAAATATACGAAAAAGCGTGATGCGTGTTTTGCTGATTAAACCTATTGCTTTGTTTTACACGCTCTCGTTGCCGTCGCGTCGTTGGATCTTAGGCCCTGTCAACACGTATCGGTATTCGTTTGAAAACGCAACTTTTTTTTCTCTGTTTTCAAAAAATCCGCGTCCACTCGTAGCGTTTTCGCATCGTTTTCGCCCGTCCACACGTATACGATGAATCGATTTGAAAACGATAACTTACCCGACTGCGCATGCTTGACGCCCCGTCCGCCGTCTTGAATAAGTTTCTTATATTGCGCGGAGTGGCTTGGAACTGATAGTGTGACTTCAGCGTTTTCGAAAAGTTCCGTTTGCGTCTGTCTTCATGTACACGCGAAAATAGCGTTTTCAAAAAGTTCCACTCTGGAGAGTGTTTTCGAGAAGTTCCGTTTTCATTGATCGGTTTCATAGGATACGTGGGGATGGAAGCCGTATCCGTAAAGAAAAAATTGCTTTTTTCAAATGAAAACGGATATGTGTGGACGGGGCCTTAAAGTCCCTATGTGGAGGGAAAACGTGATATCCTCCGTCATTCTTCTCCAGGTTTGTCAGGTTTTGGCAGGAATGTAGAGACGGAAGCAAGTTATCAAATGTTAGAAGATTTATCATTTTGCTATCGGGAGAGTCCTTAACCTGCTTCAATAAAAATAACCGCGCTAATTTTTTCTGGGGAAAAAAAGTTCAATGAAGCTTTGCGGGTGCACATGTCTATTTTTTGAGAATACGAAAGTAAAGTTCAAGTGTTAAATCTCGTCCTCGTTGTCGTCGACTCGTCTCTTTCTACTGAGGCTAATGTGCTGCCCTTAATTCTTGCAAAAGGTTGGACATTTTATTCTTTTCAGTTAAAACAAAACCTCGCTGGTGCCGCCCTTTAGAAAAATTATGACATGCAGTTGCTGTAAATTAGGACAGAACAGACGTACTCCTTTTTTGATCTCCAGGTTATGGATATATCACTCCACAAACACAGACAGGCAAGATTTTGTGCATCTTTGTGTCTTTACCAGGAATTCCCATTACAATGCTGGCTTTAAAATCAATAGGTGAAGTCATAGCCTACTACGTAAATGCCTTCGTCACAAAGTTCGAGAAGAAAATCCTGAAGAGAGCTGACCCAAAACAAGTACAAACCAAGAGTGCTAGTATTTTGTTCTTGTTGATGGTGGTGTTAATTGTGATAAACGGTTTGTTTATGAAACCCTTAACAGAATGGGGCCTCCTTGAGGGAATATATTTTTGGTTTATAACGTTAACAACTACTGGTTTTGGTGATTACGTTCCTTACAAATCGCAAAGGGTAAAAGAGATAACGGGAAGTAACTTAAGTGATTTTCACAACCAAACAAAAACAGGTAACGCACGGGAAGTCCCTGCCGTCATTTTCTCTGCAATATTCTTTACATTTTACCTTATTTTCGGTTTATGCGTTGTCTCCAGCGTACTTAATGCCATTATGGCCGCCCTTGAAAAACAAAAATGCTGTCTTCGATGTCGTTGTATTCCTCGAAAAACGCAGGCGCAAGACGTTTGCAGTGAAGAAAGTAACACACAAGAGCGTCGTGAAACCAATATAGCTATCTTGAGCTTGGAAAGTTTTGGATTCCGGACGGACAATGCTGCAGCGCTAGAAAATTAAAGAGCGCGGCACTTTTCGACTTGTTGGTGCGACGCTTATTAACTGATTGACTGATTGATTGATTGATGGATGGATGGATGGATGGATGGATTGATTGATTGATTGATTGATTGATTGATTGATTGATTGATTGATTGATTTATTAAGGCTATGCTCACACTATACCGGATACCTTTTGCGCCTGCGCGAAAACCAGACCGGATATGGCTTCTGTTCACACATGAGAACGGTGAGTTTGGCGCGATTTCTGCAACGGAGCGAGCATGCGCCGAGCCGATCTCTGAAGTGGAGAGTCGCATATCAGATAGGTGTTCATACTATACTGGATACTAAACTGGATAACTAAAAAATGGCGTAACATTTCTCACGTTTGTCGAAGACGAAATAGCCGACCTACTACCTAAAAACATAGTAAGAACAGCAAGAACAACTCGACAGATGACATGTGCTACTTGGCGAACTGATATGCAGAACTTAACATCCCTTTATATAGACATAAGAGTTAATTTTTACGTAGTACGATCAGCATTGCAGTATTCTGCTTGCAGAATTTAATATTTCTACTTTTCATTTTTGCTGATCAGGTCTTTATAGATCCTACGTTCTTCGGCACATTATGGTTAATGTTTGTATCCCTTTATATCCTTAACTTTCCGAGAAACAGGCGAGTGAAGACAGAAAATTAACATCAATAGAGGTATTAAGCATGTCACGGTTTCCGCTTGATTTTTAAACCAGGAATTATTTGGATGAATGTTAAAATAATAGACCTTATTCACGACACCCGCCATCTTTGCACGCTCTTAAGGACTGATGGGATAAAAGTGATGTCACGTGGTTTCTCAGAGGGCAAACATGTTATAAAATTTGTTTTATTTATTCTAGACAACAGAAAATGAAAACCTTTTTATCTTCTTAAAAGACGACAATGACAAATTAAAGGTGAAAGTGATCACTGTTATTTTTTAGGATGCAGTAGCGACCGTATATGTCCTAACAGGGAGCAACAATGACATAAAAATCTTCGAAACTCAACCTGTTCTCTTTGTGCATGACTATATTAAATCACCGTCTTGTTTCGATAGAATAAACAAACATGACCGTGATTACCCTTACTGGCAAATTTTGTCACTTCTTTACCCCTCGAAATACCACGTGACATTGCTTTTATCCCATCAATCCTAAAGCGCGAACAAAAATGTTGGGTGTCGTGAATAAGGTCTCTTATTGGATTCGGCTTTCGTATGATCTAAGTAATTATGCAGATCTCGGAGGATATTATCCCCCTCGGATACCTCGGTCTGCATAATTCTTCAGATCATACTTCCCCTCATCCAATAATTGCTGATTAACATGACCGTATTGGATCGTTAATTAGAGAGTGGACCAGTCATCGACGTCAAAATTCAACGAAAGGAAAACAGCGATTGCTGTTTTCACTAACTTCGAAATCAATTTCATTTATGGACGATGTTTAATTGATCTGTTAACGATAAATAATTCACGTAGAAAAGGCAAAGTAAACAAAATATACACAGAGTTATAACAGAGTAAATGAAAATACGTTAGATAAATTAATGTAATGCCCTGGCTTAATTCCAGGTTTCAATTTTGGCCTATTAATAACCTAGCTGGTTTGCTAGGGGTATGATAAGAGTGACTGAAAATGTAAACCAAACCTAGCGCAAATGACCAAATGTCATATGCTTTATATAATTCCCTATAAGAAAACATGACATTTCAATTTTATAACTATACTTGGAAATCTCATTAAAATGGAAAATTTTTACTGCTGGGTGTCCAGGAGAATTGCTTAAAAATTAATAAACTTAATATGTAGTAGACTCGTTTTATCTCATGTGGAAACTCACCTGCAATTTTGTTTTCAACTAAAATGAATTAAACGGTGACTGAATGTACATGAAGAAAAGACAGTGTACCTAAGGGAGAAATGAACTTTTAATTAAAATGTTAATTATAAACACAACAAAATAAACTCTTTGATCTTGAACAAAGGATCTTAGCAAGCATTTCAAATGATCCATAAAGAAGTCTCCATCGATGCATGTGCAGTGTTTGAAGGATGGATCGGTTCCTTAAAGCAGCACTTCTTCGGCTTCTAGTTTTTTTCGTATTTATCTCGGTTTGCTCTTGGCTATTTGCGCTGCTGGAATACAGAGAGCAGGACGATGTCTTAGCAAAATACCATTTGCTGAACTCTTTATTCCAGTCTATGGCATCGAAGTATAATATGACAGTCGACGAGTTTAATAACTTTACAAACATGGCATATCAGGCTCTGAGTGAACCAAAACCACAATGGACTTATTTTGCAGCTATGGAGTTCGTGTTCCAAGCTGTAACGACAATCGGTAAGAAAACAACTTAATACAACTATGAATCAAAGATGGGCAAAGTTTATTAGCATGAGACGAAGATAACTGATAAAAATATTTCCTCTGGGTATTTAATTTACCTGACGAGAAATCAACCGCACGAATCAGTCGGATCTGTCGCGCAGTTTTTCATGTGTACATAGAATAGAGGCAATGTATGAAAAGTGGCGCTCAAGCGTCAAAGTTGAGCGAGGTTCAACTTTTACTTTTGCGCGCAACCGTTTATACATTGGGGAGATTTAGAATCACGTTTACGGCAAACGACAAACGTCAGATTTAAGTTTCGAATCTTTCAAAAGAGACACCGAGAAGTTAAAAACAGTCCCAAACAATTCTTATGGACAAAACTGGCATGAAACTACTAATTTTTTTTGTAGACGTGATGAACAGTAAAAGAAAAGGAAAGGAAAAACTTAGTCACGTGGTACAAATTCGCTTTTGGCCTTTTGACGTAAACGTGACTCAAAATCTCTTATTATTGACGCAAAAAAGCGGCGAAAGAGAACGCCGAGAATTGAAAACATAATAATAATAATAATAAGTAGCGTAAAGTCATACAGAAGAGGACTGAAACTTCTCATCAAGATGCTGATCGAGGATATGATCATACAGTTACCAAGCAAAAACCTTTTTGGTTAATTTAGAAACAAATTTTAACTTAGAGATTGGACGAGAAATTTGAAATTCTTCATGATTGGCATGCTTGTTGTCACATGATTACCTTCATCTGTGATGTTATGTGGATGGAGCATTCAGGGATCGTTCGCGTTCAGTCGCTGATAGATGTTTTGTTTTATTATTTGGCTTCTAGTTTAAATGATAATAAAAAAACGGAAAAAAATCATTACAGTCACCTATTAACATCAAAACACACAGCTCACCAAAGGAACGAAGTATTGAACATAAATACTAATCCATTACTAACAATGAAAGCACAAGAGCTGGACCGGGTAAAAGAGAATTAACAATAATTTGACAGAAATCACAAAGGAACAACTTTAAATTCGTTAAAGATCAGTGAAATATCTCTTACAATTCTCTCATACATTCATGTTCTTTGTCGGTGAGCTCATTTGGTAGAAAAAAAGCACTTTTCTAGGTATAATCATCCTCATATTCTTTGCATGTGCACTAAGGCATTGTAGAGTGATGACAGGCCACTATGTGACATTGAAATATCAGGCAAAACTCAGAACTATCGCCGGAAAAGTGTTTGCAACTTTAAAGTGACTCGATTCTACTGAATTTTGCTTTGCAAACAACATAGTTGGACTTCAGGCCCTTAATCCTTTGAGATAATTAACAATTATTCCTCGAGCCCGAATGGACTCTGAGTCAATAGCCCATGAGGCCGAAGGCCGAATGGGCTATTGACGCAGAGGCTATGAGGGCAAGAGGAATAATTGTTTTAGTAAAATCCAACTAGTTGGTCAAAAATATCGAGAAAAAAAAATTTAGCTAGTTAAAGCTAGACTTAAATCCTTTTTTGCCGCCAAAAAGCGCGCGCTTTTCGCTACTAGTAGGTTATAACATATAGCCAATCAGAACGCAGCATTGATAATAGACCACTTGTGAAATCTCTTAAATGGTATTTGTTTGTCTAATCCTTACGGGTGAGATGTTGAGCAATTTCGGGCCGTCGCAGTGGCAGAACTGTAGTGGTTGATCTAATGTCCCTGAAGGACTAAAATGTTTAATTTTGGCTGGATACTTTGTAGAAGCCCCCTCCCCTCTATTTCAATTTCTGGATCCATTATTCGGTACTGATTAGAGCCACGCTGTGCAGGGGCGTAGCTAGGAGGGGTCCTGGGGTGCCCGTGACCCCCCTTGGTAGGCCTTCTTTTGATAAAACAACCTACAATATTCGGGTGGCGAAAACGCCATGACAATATCTTGGCCGTAAAAGCCATTGTTGAAAACACCACTTTTTTAAAATTTGTTTTTTTTGTAAAGTATTTTAGTCAGCGGCTCTTGTCGTTGGTTAATATGGGCCTTCATGCCGCGGTAATACAACCGAGCCCGCTGATACACGAAGGAGAGCAGCGGTATAAACCATATATAGTCGGCGATCCCCGGATGGTGTCCCTGCTGTGACCCCCCCTTTGAAAAATCCTGGCTACGCACCTGCTGTGGATGGATCATTTGCACGCAAGCTGCCCTAAGGCCTGGACTCCTGGACCGTGTTGTTCAAAGATGAATTAGGATAACCCAGAGCAGGAGAGAATGAGCTACAACCTTGGACAGAAAGTGTTAATAATTTTGCACTTTCTTACCCACAGAACGCTTATTCCGCGGATTTGTTGCTGCTATGGCCCCTCCCCTCGCCCCACCCTGGTCAGGTTGTTTAGTCGGGATCAGAAATGATCGAACCGGACTTAAACATTGTTTTTTGGGGGCAAAACGAGTATTTGTAGTTGTCAGTACTTTCAACAGCTAGACATGGTAACGTCCATTTTCTCAACATTTTTGTCCAAGATTGTAGCTTTTGCCCACGGTTAGTGCAAAATGTGCCAGAAGTCAGATATGAAATCTTAAAAAGCCAATTTTTGTTTAATTCTTTTTACTTACTATTTGATGATCGAATACTTTAAAAAGAATTGGAAAAATTATTCTCCAAAATTCTTTCGAAGAAAACTGGGCCCTGGAATTCAGGCGGTTGAAACAGACAACCTTTTTAAGTCTTCTTAACTTAATGTTTCTTTTATTTTCCTATTTCACCAGTCTTACGAAGCACAAATTTTGTCATTTTTGTCTCGTGTATTTTTAGGCTATGGATACATAACTCCTCAAACAAGTGATGGTCAGCTATTGTGCATTTTGGTCTGTTTAATGGGGATTCCTTTATCATTACTCACGTTAAAGTCTGTAGGTCAACTTGTGGCCCATAGGATCAGAACAGTGGTAGCCACGTTTGAAAGGAAAGTTCTCAACAGACAAGATGTAAAACATGTGAAGACGAAAAGTGCTGTAATCTTGTTCTTAATTATGGTATCCTCGATAATTGTATATGGTAGGCTACTCATGCGATCTCAGAACTGGACCTTTGTCCAAGGTGTTTACTTTTGTTTTGTATCGTTCAGCACAATTGGATTTGGCGACTTTTTTGTATCGGCTAATCAACCAATACCGTTGAAACAATTAGTTGTAAAAAGTCCTAATGCAAGCAAGATTTACTTAGTTAACAGTTCTAAGGGAGAAGCTCTCAAAGGAGCTCGCTGCTTATTATTTGGACTGCTTGCCATGTTAGCTTTGTGCATCGTTTCAGGCGTCTTAAACTCTGTGATGGCAGCCATCGAGGAACTGAAATACATCAACTATTATTGCTTTGTATGCTTTCATCGAAAAATTCACGATCGTGATAACGATGGACTTGTCAACAACACTCTCAACTTGGAAGTAGATAAGCCAAACTTAGACAAGGGAAATCGTGGATTGCAGGAGGATGTTACAGGGGAGACGGAGTCCAAGGCAACGGAGGAGGCAAATGAGGAGCTTTAACCTACACTTTCGTCATTTCCTCGCACTGTTGCTTTTTTTTTTTTTCAATTCTATTTTGACTGCATCCATTATTGCGTTTGTTGTTTTTAAGTTGTTAGTTAGAGGTATGGTAGGGATGTTTTAGGCCTTATTTTAAAGTGGAATGCCATTAGTTTGAAGTGGAATACATCAACGCCAATGACGTCGTAGCCTTTTCTCTTTATCTCATGAACAAAAATTAATAAAAGGCAGAGGAATCTCATTAAGATATTGTCATGTGCTATTTTTTAAGAGGTTTAAGCGGTTGGAAAGGTTTTCTTGACTAGTTATTTAAAGATCGATGAAGGTCTCGCTGTTAGTGCGGTGATGGTGGTGGTGGTAGTGGTGGAAGGAAAAAATAGAAAAGTGTTGGTGGTTATCGTGGTGGAGGGAAAACAATAGAAATGTGATGGTAGTGGTGGTAACGGTGTGAAAACAATTATTAATTATAGAAATGGTGTGCTGGTAGTGGTGGAGGGAAAACAATACAAATGTCGTGATGGTGGTGGAGGGTAAAGTGAACGATTGTTTTTCGTGGTAGGAAGAGTTAGTTTGACTTCGTCCTCATAATATGTGCACGATTTGGGTGCCAAGAATCAGTGAACCGAAACTGAAACAACTTGTTCGACAATGAAAGCGGCAGGGAATAGAACTTGAATAATTTCGGAACGACTCAGAGATTATTAGTCTCAGGCGAGTTAACGCTTATTAATTCTTTCGCCAACAAGAATCAACAAATGCAAATAAATGCTGTTCTGAGTTTTTGTCAACCAAACAAACAGACCTTTAAAACTCATAAACAGCCTTAGTTCACTCTCGTTTATCATTATTTTATTTCCTGAGGTAAGTATAATCAACGACATGACAATTTCAACAAATTTAGTGTCCACTGCTAAGAAGCTCTGGATCAACCGCCTGATATTGACATCTTTTGCCTGTAAACTCTGCTGTACAGTGACAAGCTGTATGCCTTGCTCCTGCGATTTCGACAGCAAAACAGGATCCTCCATGTAGACAACCTACTTTTTGGGTTTCCTCTGAAGTGCACTCTAACAGAAAGTGAAAATAACTGGCAAATAAAAACTTTATTTTTCAAAGCGTTTAAAAGCAACAATTTTAACCAAAACTTATTTTCTGTACTGATAAACATTTATTAGGCGTCCGGTCGTTAGTTTATGGACGATTCCATTATTGCGTCCATTCCAATTTTTAAAACGCTTTTAACCTGTGTTTTCTTCTTTATTTATACATCGGTGAAGCCGAGGTTAGATTATAATGGGAAGCAAAAAAGAGAGTTAAGCACAAAATACTGGCTAACTTTTGGCAAAACATTGAGTACCAATTCTACTCTTTTCAGATAAAATTTCCGCCTTTCCTAGAAAGTTAGCGATAAATTTCCTAGCTAACTGACAGAAAAGGGTACTTGGTTTTAAGACGCGTTTTTTCCCTACCATTTAATTAAGAGTACTAAAGATGTCCAAAGATCAGGGAATTGGAATATAACGTTCTGTCTCCCTACCAAAAAGAAGGAATTTTTTGGGACATCTAAAAAGCTGGCATCCACTCAGAAACAATAGCCACACAAGACAACTACGCAGTTTGGCCAGTATATTATGTTTGAGGAAAGAAAAATCCTACCTAGCTTGTGGCTCCCCCCATCTTGAGTTTGATCTTTGGTGGAATCAGCTGAGAATAAAGAGAATGTTAAATCTCTTGATTCACGAAAACGAAAGTTGTAGTGCCGGTTTGTTAAAAGAGACCCTTAGATTCGAAGACGAGAACGACTACGACTATACTTAGAAGTGTTCGCACGTGAACCAGCGTCATTTTGGCAGAAAAAAACGTGGTAGCGGTTGTCATTCTACGACGCGTTTTAGCTAGAATGTCGTAATGGCGGAAACAAGTTGTCTAATAATAGAAGTTTTAACTATCGGGAGAGGGCTTAACCTCCTTCAATAAAGATAACAGTGCTAACTTTTTTAGTGAATCCAAAGTACAATGAAGCTTTCCGGGGAAAAAAACTTGTCGTTCTCGTCTTCGAATATAAAGTTCTCTATTAAAAGAAACGGCGCCTTCACAAAACGAACGAGATGAAAATTAAAAGAGCTCACCCTCTTTTCCTTTATCAGCTTTCACAGGGGTACAAAACAGGCAAGCTAACAAACCCCAAGAACATAACAATCTTCATTGTAAAAAGCTGGTTTGGCGTGAATGGTCCTTTTACCCTCTAACGTGATGGCAGTTGTCCTCTGTTGATTTCTAGTAATATTCTTATGGCCTTTATTAGCACCAAATTATAAATTATAAACATCTATTCAGTCGGTAACTTTTTTTTTGTTGTAATTACTTCTAAGGAGTTACGGGTGCAGCAGAGGGAGGCCAATTCATCCTTTGTTTCACCATGTTTATTTATTTAAAAGTGTGACACACCCCATCAAAGAAACGTTCGTGCGACCATGAAAACTAGTTCACGTATGGCTTTATGCCCTTCGTATAAACCTCGTGAGAGTATGACGTTTTCAATTACTTTCATTTACTATCGATAGTTGTGACCATAGGTGATGCTAAGGATAAGAATCTCTCTTATGTAACAGCGGACAGAGGGTAAATAAGTTGTACGTCGTCCCGGGGGGGTACTCGATATATCCCTGGGTGGGGAGGTGCGGCGCGGCCCCTCATACCCTGACCCTGTTTAAGACAAATATCGCTGATTTTCCTACCCTGTTTAAGACAGAATTCCGATTTTTGATACCCTGTTTAAGACATTTATCCTGTTTAAGACAAAAATTGATAGATCGATACCCTGATTAAGACAAAAAATGATAAATTCGATATCCTGTTTAAGACAAAAATCCCGAAAAACTATACCCTGGCTGTCCGCACGTCCCCATTAAGCCCTTATAAGGGAGTAACCCCCGGGGACGTCGTTAAATCAATCGATGATTGATGAAAAGGAATTTTGGGAGGGTAAAGCACACAGAAGTGAGATACTCCTCTTTCAAACCAGCGAACAACCACTTGACAGCAGCCAACAGGATAAATTGTTCTGTTCTTGCGAGTTTTATTTTTGTAAACTAGTAAATATTTCCTTGAATTGCAGAAGAGGATTTTAATAAAGTGGGAAAGCTGCGAGGAATCAAACAATCCCAGTCCAACTTTTTGCATATGCATTTGTAATCGAGTGGAAATATATACCTGACTTTTAACCGGACAGTTTGATGTTGTCAACCTTTCCTACTGATCATAAATTCATCACCCTCCCTCGATAAAGCAAAAAAGCGAGTAAGTTGTTTTATTTCAGCTTTTTATTTCGTTCCTTATCTCGGCCACATCTTTTCGTAAATGATGTTTTCTTGTATTGAGAGGCCTTTTTCTCTACTCTTTATCCTCAGATTACCCCAGCAAAGATAAAGCTCAAGATGCCCCGTAGAGTCATAAGAAAGGCCGGTTGCGCATAAGATACTATCCAGATTGAGAAATAAACTGAGTTTCCACATCAGTATAAATCACGCAGACTAACAACTACAAGAAAAAAAACAGTCTTCGTTGTTAATCGCAGTTTTTGACTTACTCGAAAGTGGTTTTCTTAGCGTCTGAGTGATGATCGTGAATTTCTACTTTTCGCCGGTCTTGCTATATTCATGACTTTTATCAAGCTATCACTTATAAACGCCCATTCAGTAGGTAGTTTTTTCGGTTGTCAAAACCTTCCAGCAGTTTTTGGTGCGGCAGAGGTCGGGGACCAATTCATCTTTTGTTTTACTCAGCTATCCTTAATTATTAAAGGAGCTGTGTCACGTGAGTCCAGTCCATTTTGTTTAATTTTGCGAATTACTCGCCCTCAATCGCTATAGAACTTAAAGTAAGCATAGAAATTACGTGTAAATGACAAAATCAGAGATCCGAGACAAACAAATATGTCTCTTGAGCATTACTTTTGAAGTTGCAAGCAGCAGGGATCAACTCTGAAAAGCTTTTAGGCTGAACAGTTTTCAAAAATCCTAATTTCAATCCGTTTCAATCTTCTTCAGTTTTGCCCATCCGTAGCATCTGTTGCATCTGTTTCCTAATTTGGCTAAATTTCGTTTCACAGCTCCTTTAAGCGTTATTACACGCCGCTACCAAAGCGGCTAACGTGCAACCTAGATATCGCGTAAGTATGTTTGTTTTTTATAGCGTTGATAAACCTAACTGTGATTCTCCGCGGAAATATCAATAAACATGTTCAAATTGGCTCCACTTAATTTCGGCGTTCCTCCAGGGTGCGGCCTGGTTCCACTATTATTTTCAACCTACATTAGACAGCAATTTGACATTTTTAGTCATTTTTAGTCATTTTTAGCCACAGGTACATTGCTAAGCTGCTGACATACGGTTCTACCTGGCGTTCAAACCAGAAAACAATGCTACCAAGAACGTAACGATCTTCATGGTTTATAGCCGTTTCTCTGTGAAAATAGTCTTCTTGCCGTCTGAGTGATGGGATCTCACTTGTAAGACCACCCGAGAGTCATTTTTAATAGCGTAGCTGCCTTTAAGCCGTTAAGCCTGGGCTTAACAAGAATTTGGGTCAAAATCGCGAGATTAAAAGACGCGAAACTGCATGCAACTCAATGTCTGTTGCTGCGATTTGTATGCAAATCTTGCACATAACTTACTAGGAAAGTGATCTGTCTTCAGTGTCTTTGAACACCATTTTGGTTTTCAAGTAGATTAACTCCAATCTTTGTGGTTAAAATTTCGTTCCGACTTTTAGAGGGTCTCAAACTGTCTCAGCTCTTAACTAATATTAGCAAACCATAATCTCCTCGGAAAACCCTCTAGGTTTTTCGTTTGGTTATGTTTTTTGTTGAACTGGCCACCACTTTGAAATATTAATTAAGTAGCCTAGTGGCTCTTACAAAAAAGTCAATTTCACGCCCTGGTTAACTACTTTTTTTCTGCATTGATCGATGTTAGACATGTTAAAATGCAACTTCGAAAAATGTAATCCATCTTAATGAATCTCTACTTGTCTACTTTACTTTACGAACGACCGGCTGTGTAAAATATTGTTTATATAGGTCGATGTTTACTTTCCCCCTCCCTCCCCCCAGGACTTCTGTTTGACTCGGGCTTAAAAGGACAAAAGACTGGCAACGCCCCTGATTACTCACTAAAATCATAACATTTAGAATCAAATGGGTCAAATGTTTCCTGACTGACTTCTCTTTCCTTTTCCTGTAATTTGTTTATAAGATTGTTGGGAAGGGTTACCCCTTAGTACATTTACTTTTCAGCACCGCAGACTAAAAAGTAAGTTTTCCGGGGCACCCGACGACAGCTTTCCCCAAGATTCTTTAAAATCCTTTTTAGGCTATTTTAGGTTATCTTAAGCCTATTCAAATTTATTAGGGCTTTCATATCATTTGTTTGAAAATACTTTATAATATTTAAAGGTTTTCTGCAATTAACTCAACATTTTCTGATGACTCTTTTCGTCCCAATTTTCAAGGCCGAAAATTGTAAGAGTCCTTTTTTACGAATGAGTGACCAAATCTGGGAAGTGAATTGTGAAAAACAATCAGTCATCAGTCAAACAGTCATCTGGAATTTCTTAGCCTTTCCCAACATGTAAATTCTTTCCATATCGCACATAAATTTTACAGAAAACGGTCGTTGGGTGCCCCTGGTTTTTTTAAAGGAACAAGGAGAGATTTATAACCAATAAACTAGGTAGTCAATACTAAACTGTCGCATAAAAACCATTTAACAAAATAGAATTTCTTTACTTGTTTTTTACTAAAGCGTATTAGTTTATAATTTTTTGCATTTGATGACAACTGGCAGGTAACCAATGTGTAAATTAAGTGGTCTGTTCACCGGAAATTTTATTCATTTTTTTTCTCCCTTTTTTCATTTTACCTGTGCTCCTGGTCATCTATAAGTACGCGTGTGAAGAGAAAGACACTCGACCAAATCTTTTTTTTTTTTCATGTCTCTTTATCTTTTAGCTGAAACACTGAGACTTGCCTGGAGCAATTAAGGTGAATGAGCACAGTTTCTCTAGAAATGCTTTACGCCTTTTCTGTGTATGTTAACATCCTTTTCATGAGGAGATATGCAGCCAATAAGCTTATGAAGAAAAACGCGGTCAAGCTGGTATATATGCCCAGAAGTTGTCTGTAGAAATTTTTTCTGCTTCCGTCGCCTTTGACACATTGCGTATACAGCAATGTGAGAGCTCTTATTTTTTTTTTATTTTCATAGGCAATGGATGCAAACTACTCATTAAAATTTGACGAAATTTGGCAGAAACCCTCTTTATATTAGCCTGAAAAAAATACCCGTCGATTCCTATCGCCACCAACGTTTGCGATGACAATGAAATGCGCCACGTTTTTTCGAGGCGAAAAAGATGTTGTTGGCATTGTAACATTTGACCTGATTGGTTTACTTCCCACCAATCACACATTATTGTTTATATTACAATGGCATACAGGCCCCGGTTGTTCAAACGTCGGATAGCGCTATCCAATGTTTGAACAACCGCCGGCAGAAGTTTATGACAAAACGTTAGATATTAACAGAAAAATAGCTCAAACAGCGCAAAATATTTGAAATTTCATTGTCAGAGAGTCGAGTCTACAAGAAGAGGCAAACTTCGGCGATTATCCGGGAGATTTGAGACTCTAATCTGGAGACCGAGAGATACGGTCCAAAATCTGGAGCCTCCAGGATTATCCGAGAGAGTTGACTGCATAGTGTAATTGCGAAATGGACTATTATTTTGTATTTCATTTTTTCACTATTCAACTCACTTTTAACTATCATAGACTTAGTTGTCTTTTATGTATTGTATTTTAATCGGTAACGTATAGAAATGGTAATTCTGAATAAACTTGTTGTTGTTGTTGATTTGGGGGGATGCAGGTTTGCTGTTCCATTTTATTCTGTCCAAGATTGTAGATCTGGGCCCAGTTGTTCGAAGGCCTTTTAGCACTAACCCGAGGTTAAATGTTGATACGGGTTTCTTTTTCTTTTGTTCAAAAGCATTTTCCGGGAAAATTTTCTCAATTACAATTAACGAATTATATATGCAAAAAGAATGAAACTGATATATCTGAATTCAAATTTCGCACTAACCTTGGGTTATCTTAACCCAGCTTTGAACAACCCGGCCCTGCTGGTCGGGAGTGATCGCAAGTACGAAAACAGATCAAAATACAAAAATAAAACGCAAACAGCGGTGATAAACATTGTGAGCTATCACCGCTGTTTGTGTTATATTTTTGATCCAGCTGCGATGGTCAAATTTCTCTCACCCTCCCCTCCCCTGCCTCTGAACGTACGGAAGGCGGTGGCCTCGATTTCGTGCTACAAGTGGGTATGGCGTACGGATTCCTCTGATGTATCCGGTTGGTATCCGATGTTTAAGAGTGTTTCAGATTTTAGAGACTGAAGATATCCGTGAAGCAACACGTAATTAAGGTATGTTGAAGTGCTTTAATAGTATAAGCTACGTTGAATAAATTTGTCCTTATTTAAACAGATTCTTTAAACGTGCAGACGAAGGTTTGGTTTGTGTGTCGGTATGCGAAGGAAATCAGCGAGCAAGTCTTTTCCCAAGAAATTTGTTTCCTTTGCGAAATTCACCTTTATACAGAAATTACGCTGTCGTGGGATCGTGTATGTTTTTATCTTGTATTAGTCGTTACTGAGACGTCAGAAGGAGCAAAATCAGTGTGCAGTTGTGTGTTTATTATGAGGATCGGAGGACTTGAAATTTTATACACGCTACGCTTTCATTTGTTTTACTTGAAGTAACGTAGTGAGTCTAACTTGCTATTCTAACCAACATTCTGTATTCGTGGTGACGTAAAAACATATACTCGTACATACACCTAAGCTAAGCTGAGTTCATCAAACTCATATTGAAGAGTAGGCCAAGCAAAATAGTGACGATTTATAAATATTGTGTTAAAACATCACGCTTTCATTTGATCCGCTGTTTGATTCATGACACACTTCTGCTTGTTGTCATCGTGCCTTTGACGGTACTGGTATATCCTCTTGGTATCCTTTTGTGCAGTCTTTACGCAGTGTTCTGGTCATCCTTCTTGGACAACTGCCATTGTTTTCACAAGTGAATTGAGTTTGTAGCTTTGTTGATCTGAACGTGGTAATGTCTTACACTTGGTTTATACTTCAGCCGAGTGATTTTGAACAAACATCGAAGACAAACTACAGTCAAACTCCGTTAATACGGACACTGAGGATCCATAGAAAGTATGTTTATTAACAAGGTGTCCATATAAAATGGTTTGAATGTAGAGAAAATGTAAGGGCTTTCTGTCCCAAGGGACAAAGCAAGCTGTCCTTAATGACAAGTTGTCCATCTTTGGTGGGTGTCCATAAAGCGGTGTTTGACTGTACATTGAAATCACTATTAAGTGGCCATTAACCCTTAATTTTATAATAACATTATTCGCCCTGTTATGTCTTACGCTAACGTTGTTTGGGCAAATGGCGATACAGAGTCGGTTTATAGGGTCTTAAGATTGCAAAAACGTGCGGCACGCGTTATTTCTTATGCCGATCGCATGACACCATCAGTTGCTTTGTTTAACAAGCTAGGTTGGATTCCGTTTTATGAGCAACACAAGATAGATAAATGCATAATAATGTATAAGCGAATTAATGGGTATTTGCCGAATTATCTAAATGAACCCTTAATTTTGGATAATAAGCGGCACTCCCGCAACACTAGATATTCAAGCATTAATGCTGTTTGTCCTAAATATAGAAGAGAAACAGATGGAGGACACCCTTTAGCTGTTTCGGCAACAAGACTGTGGAATAGTACACCAATTGAAATTAGGAAACTAGATTCTGTAGCATGTTTTAAAAAGAACATGTTTGCCAAGATTTTTAAGGAACAACAATGTTTGCATCATTTTATCATTTAATAATTTTTTTTTTTTTTTTTATATATAAAAATCGAATCTTGTTTTATTTTAAATGTTTATATATTTTAGCTTACAATATTTATTAGATTGTAAATAGTTGTGTATTTTATGAGGGCCACAAGTTTATTAGCCTTTGGCTATTAGGTGCTACCCTCTTTAAATAAAGGCTTTACTTACTTACTTACTTACTTACCACACTTAAACAGAGGTGATTTTAATAAAACTTGAAAAAATAATTCATTAGAATTTTGAAGTCCCTTAAAATTTTGTTTATGCACTGATATCATGTCTTGACTTATGAATATTCTTTTTCCAGGTGTCAAAAGAAACCACACAAAATTGTAGTCAATCTATGGAAAAACTGTCACAGCCATCAACAAGCAATGCCAACCATGTGATAATACAGGTAGTTGGTCAGTTACAGAATGGCGATGCATTACCAGCTCCGAGTCCAGTTCATCAGAATAAAAGCCACTCAGGTTCAGTACACTACTACCAGTGCGGACAGTGTGAAAAGGCTTTCCTTTATAAGTCAAAACTGCTTCTGCATCAGGTAACACACAGTGGTGAACGACCTTACAAGTGTCCAAATTGTGAGAAGACTTACAAGAGAGAGTCTGAGCTTGTAGTACACCAAAGGGTTCATACAGGAGAGAGGCCCTTTAGGTGTTTGAAATGTGACAAGGCATTCAAAACAAAATCTGAGCTTGTGGTACATGACAGGTTCCACACAGGTGAAAGGCCTTACAAGTGTGTCACCCACTGTGATAGGTCTTTTAGGACTGCATCTGAGCTTGGTTTACACAAGAAAATAACCTCAGGTGACAGGCCATACAAGTGTAGCAAGTGTGACCGCAGCTACTTTCGACAGGCTGATCTTACAAATCATGAAAAAAGTCACTGTGCAGAGAAACCTCATAAGTGCAAACATTGTGGAAAAAATTTCAGGACACAATCTGAAGTCAAAAAGCATGAGAAGAGTCACAGGACTGCAAAGACTGTTGAATGTGAGGTTTGTGAGAAAGCGTTCAAGTCAAAAGATCATCTTGAAGTCCATGAACAAAGCCATGTCAGTCAGAATTCCTTTTCCTGTCCCATTTGTTCACTGTCGTTTAGTAGCAGGGATGAGTTGTCAGCTCATAATGAAAGCCATACTGGAAAAAAGCTTTACAAGTGTTCTCAGTGTGATAAGTCATTTGCCTTCAAGTCCAAGCTTTTTCAACATTGGGTCATTCACACTGGCGAAAGACCATACAAATGCAATCAGTGCAACAAGTCTTATGGAAGGAAATCAGAACTTGTAGTGCATCAAAGAATACATACTGGTGAAAAGCCTTTCAAATGCACCAGTTGTAATAAGTGCTTCAAAACAACATCGGAACTTGTTGTTCATTGTAGAACTCATACAGGGGAAAAGCCATACAAGTGCAGTTTTTGTGCAAAACAATTCAAGACTGCATCAGAACTAGGTGTCCACAAAAGAAGCCACATTGGGGACAAACCATTTTCATGTACTAGATGTGACTTGTCATTCAAACAAATGTCTGATCTCACCATCCATAAGAAATTTCATTTGATTGACTTGCCTTTCAAATGCCATCTTTGTATAATGGCTTTTGGAAGTGCATCAGAACTTGCTAGTCACCAACAATTACATAGTTCTATTCTGAACAATGGTATTAGTCATGATAGAGATGTCTCTCAAACTACAGAACAAGCTTCTCAAGCCAGTGACCAACCTCACCAAGAACTTACTGATGACCAACCAGCGAGGGTGGCTACAGGGCTGAAGATGGCGCAGTTGTCATTAGCAAAAGATCACAATGCGCATACTGCAAAGGACAAACCTGTCAATGGAAAACTGCCCAATGGGGAGACAGAACTTGACATTGAAAAATTAATGAAAATTGTCAACAAACCTTTCAAGTGCAGTGAGTGTGGCAAGGCGTTTGTCTCCACTACCGAGTTGGCAGGGCATGTAAGAATGCACACCGGTGAAAGACCATTCAAGTGTTCTCTATGCGACAACTGTTACAGAACACAGTCAACACTTTCCGTCCACATGAAAAGTCACGAAAAGGAAAAATGTTTCCCTTGTTCTTATTGTAAAGTGACATGCCCCACCCTTTCAAAGCTTTATGACCATTTCCTGATTCATCAGCCAGTGAGTATTGCTGGAAGCTGGCAACCTAGTACAATTAGTCCACAAAAACGAAAGAGTACTTCTGATAATGAGCCACTAAAGTGCTGGGTTTGTGATAAAGAATTTGCCGACCAGGGAACGTTAGAGCTTCACATCAGTTTACACAAAGATAGAAGCAGCACCCTTGAACTGTGTGTCAAGAGGCTAAAAGGCTCTATTGCCAAAGAGTAGAGCATGGACCAACGTTAGTGTTTGGTTACAAGGTAATTTGATATTTTACTCCCGTGGAAATTTACAAGAACTATTAATTAACAATTATTATTCCTTGATTTCGAGTGGGCTCTGAGTCAATAGCCCATAAGGCCGAAGGCTGAATGGGTTATTGACTCTGAGGCCATGAGGGCGAGAGGAATAATTGTTTTAGTAAAATCCGACTAGTTGGTAAAAAATATCGAGACAAAACAACTCTAGCTAGTTAAAGTTAAACATTAATCCTCTTTTGCTGCCAAAAAGCTGGCGTTTTTCGGTACTAGTGGGCTAATAGCCTAATAGTAGCTCAACCAATCAGAACGCAGCATTGATAATAGACCACTAGTTGGATTTCACTAATTATGTATATCTCTGACTTCAGAGTGGAAGAGTCCAACTTTGATTGTCATTTGACTGTTTCTAAAATTTGTATACTTCAATAATAACACTTTTTCTGCAGCACTAGAATGTTTCTTTGAATTATAGCAAGAATGTCATACTGACAAACAGTTACATATGTTGTAGTTCAGTTTGTCCTTGGTTCTAATAATTTTTTTTTAAAACTTACTTTTTTAAGAAAAACATTTGTATGGTAATGTCTGAGAATAGCCTTTGAACCAAGAATAAATTGAACCTCTTCATAATATTTATCAGATGCATGGAATAAGGCCTGAGCAACTCTTCATGTTATTTGTCTTTCTCCTTTCATTTCATAGGCAAACACAAGGCACTCTGAAAGGAGAATTTAGAAGTTTATCAGAAAGCAACTAGAGTTTTTCAACACATACTCCTTTATCTGTTAGTTATGATGAAAGTAATATTACTTGCTTGATCTTTTGTAACACATGCACCTCAGCTTTATCTTAAACATATTCCTGCTCTCGGAAATATGTGATTTTGATTGGAGAAAAACTATAAAAGATGGAAGTTTTATGGTGAATTCTGCTAATTAGGCATTATTAAATATTTCTCTCTTAGTAACTGACAAATTATTCTTGTATTGGTAAGACATGAATGAGTGAGTTAAGTGCTTTTTTGTTTCCATAGTTGTTACAGATGTCATGGCAATTTAAGAGATGTTTGTGGTTGATTTTGTTGTGAATTTATGCTATGCAATACAATGATGCATTGGTACAAAAAGTGATGTCATGTGAATTTTCTTTCAAAAGATCTTTACCAGCAGTTGTTGTATTTGGCCAATCTATTGTAGATTAGAATTCTGTTGTTGTATAATTTGTTTGTTTGTAAATAGGATTTTACAGTATGATAATATAAAAAAAGATAGGATGCTTTTGTGAAATTAAAAATTGTCACTTGTGACAATAACAATATTTTAATATTAGGTAACTAACTGCTAGAATCATCCTTTATCTTATTAAAATTTTAGGTTGTTGCATTGTGGATAATATTGGGAATTATGACAATCAAGAGTTTTGAGGAAAAATATAATCATTGTAGACTTGGTTGTTTGATTCCCCAAACAATGCTAGGAAAATTACAAACCATAATTAAGGAATGAGCTTGTTAGGTTATGCACCTTGTAATGGAATTTTGCCAGATAACAAAATACTCTCTATTTTTACATCATTCTAATATTTTGAGCTTAGGTAGAGCTAGGAGTTAATTTTTATATTTGGTGGACATTTTGAGCCTCAAAATGTTGTTACTTAGATGTTATGAAATTAAATGTAATAAAATGGGGTTGGCTAGTCTCTGCAGCTGCTTGGGGCAGAGTCACGCAATACCTCCCATCCACACACGTGGAACAGTAGGAGCATTGCTTGACTTAGGTCCAAGCAGCTTTGATGGAGACTAGGGGTTGGCAGCCCTAGTTGGCTTTTACCTCATGTGTTGGGGAGGGTAGCGATGAGGTTGTCTCCCACACAGACATTCTTTTGGATCATCACGCCGTCCTCCCCATCGTGGGGAAGGAATGCGTGACAAAGCCCTTAAAACGTCTTTGTGGGGGGTTAACTTTGATGTGGAGGGGGAACAGTGTATACTAATGTTCAGCCAAACATTTACTGCATTCCTTGTGGAAATTATTTTTTCATGTTGACACTGGTAAAAAAAACAATGTTCTCCTCAGAACTTTAGCCTAAGTCTTGTTCTTAGGATGAACCTGTGATCAGGCAGCCTTCTTCCCTTTTTCTTTGCCCAATTTCGCTCTTCCCCGAAAAGAAAGAATGCTTGATCGCAGGTTAGGGTAGGATGTGCTTTGTTTTCCATTTTCAGCCTCAACATTCTTATGAACAAAGGATTGTGCAAAAAGAGAGTTTATAATAATAATAGTATATTCGTGTCATTTTTACATTCATGATATGCTCTACTTTTAATCACTTACAGCTTTTGTAATAATTATCTATTTTTATTAGCTCGAGCATTGTGTAAAAGCCACTGCAGCATGAGACAATAAAATATTTTGGTTATTTAGTAGGAAAATATTTTCTTCTTGGCTATTTGCTAGCTTTAAGCTAAAGGGATGTATCCTGGCGGTGTGGCCATATCAGGGCCCGACCTTGGGAGCCTCTTTGTTTAACACTTAGTTGAGACAGAGTACCATCCTCCACTCACCTCCTCAGGGGGCAGAGTACCACCCGCCACCCCCTCCTCCC